GGCAAAATCTTGATATATTTTTTTATATTTCACTTCTAAAGAAAGATAAGATAATTGTTACATTTACTTGTAAAAACATATATTTTTATATATCAAGCGCAAAAGTGCTCACATAAAAACATTACATTATATTTTCTTCTTCATAACAATCGTCGAGGAGAGTTAAAAATATTGAATATAGTCTGTTTCCCATTCCGTTAAGTAATGGATTGTCCAATCTGGTTCTGACTACCATGTCCTTAAGGTTCCTCGGGTGTCTGTATGCAGCCAACGGGAATTCCTTAAAGACCTCTGCCATTCGGTTGTTTAAATGGAGAATTAGCAGGTTCTTTTGAAGAATTCTCCATCGCCATCCAATACTCTTAACGAAATGTTTTACAAAAACGAGAATGGTATCTACGTCTATGAGACGTATATTGACCGTAGAACAGGACAATTCTATCTGCTTCCTAAGATACACAAAGAAGGCATGCCAGGTTGCCCTATAGTTATCGCAATTGGACACCCCACGGAGAAAATTTCTGAAAACATTGATTTATGTCTCCGTCCACACGTAGAGAAATTGCCATCCTATCTCAAGGACACCAAAGACTACATTAACAAGACGCCCTCTACTGGCCTTCCAGATCATACCCGTGACTATGGACGTCACATCTTTGTACACCAATATTTCGCACGATTAGGGTAGAGAAGCCTGTAGAGAAGTCTGGGATACATGTAGTAGATCCATACAATTTCCTTCTACCGAGTCCCTTGACATTCTCAAGTTTAACAGCTTCATGTTAATGGAGAACATTATACCTGCAGGTTAATGGCACTGCTATTGGTACAAAAAATGGCACAGTCTTACGCCGATGTTTTGATGGGCAGACTTGAACGCAACTTGTTACTTTACGCACCATTTAGGCCCCATAGCTGGTTGCGTTTCGTTGATGATATAGAAGTGAAGTATGTGGAATGTCGCGAGAGCCTCAACGCATTCATTATATTTGTCAACACCTTTCATCAGTCTATCAAATTAACAGTAGACGTATCTAATTCGAAAAACGTATTCCTAGATACTACATCTATCTGATAGATGGTGAAATCGAGTTTAGTTTCCAAACCAAACCCACAGACTCCCATCTATATCTTATACCCACTAGCTGTCATCCCCCTTGCAAATTTAAGGGTTTGCCTAAGGGTCTAGCCACCAGAATTTGACGCTTCTGTTCGTCCCCTGCCTTATATCAGGAACAAAGCTGTCTTCTTAAGACCCACTTGTCAAGACAGGCTACAATGCCCGCACCGTAAAAGCTGCTATTGATGAGATTGCGGGACATGGCATGAACAATCTATTACGCTACAAAGAGAACAACAATAGCGGTCCGGTCTCTTTAGTAACCGCATACCATCCCGCCCTTAGTAATTTCAACTTTTGCCAAAATTTTATACCAAAACTCCCTAGGACCTCTCTTACCCCTCTCAAAGTGTCCCACGGTATCTTTCAAAATAACCTGCCAGTTCTCCAGATTCTCCTGATTCGACAACCCATTACATGTACCTAACTGGGGCTTTAAATTTTGCTCTGACAGAAAATGTTTTCTTTGTAAGCAGAGCTCTAACACACACAGCTTTAACAGCCGCGTTAAAGGCCGCAGCTACAAAATACTAGGGTATTTGTTCTGTCATACAAACAACTGCATCTATCTGATCAGTTGCAAAGTTTGTTCCAAACAGTATGTTGGTGAAACAGAATATCTCCGCAGGAGAGTTAATAACCACCGTCGACCATTAGGACCAAAAACTCAATGAACCTGTTGGGGAACATTTCCAACTTGAGGGTCACAAATGGGAGGACATGACAGTAGTGGTGATTGACCATAACCCAGGATGGACAGATGCTCAGAGAAAAAGCAAAGAGAAGTTCTGTTGGGGAACATTTCCAACTTGAGGGTCACAAATGGGAGGATGTGACAGTAGCGGTGATTAACCAGAACGCAAGAAGGACAAACGCTCAGAGAAACAGCAAGGAAACTTCTTGATGCACAGATTGAATTCATTTCGCCCTAATTGTAATACCAACTAAATGACTTCATCAGAATGAACGTGAACTAGATTCATTTCCTGATGATGATAAACAAGATCATTCTCTCAATATAATGTAAACTCTACAGTTAATTCGCGTTACCAACTCAAGAACGATCCACATACATATTTATTACTTACTCTAATCTTAACTATTTCTTTTTTACAATAAATAGTCCTAAAACATTTCCAAATTTATAAAAGATCAAAAAATCATATGATAAAGTATCCCCTCTAAATTGTCTTTCTTTGATTATTCTTTATCGTGTATAGGTACGCCATTTGAGAGAATGAAACAATGTACAATTTACTGATGTCGTAATAAATTAGCGTAATTAATTAGTTCAATTATGTAAATCGCACTTCACTTGAGTAAACCCGATACTCAATTTTAAATTTATTTACTCAAGACCATGTTTATCGTCAATGAGGTACAAAAACATAATTATATACATATAATACAGTGGGTCATGCAGAAGGTGATAACTAAGGAGAACAGACAAATATTTTTAATTTTAGAAATAAATGTACATATTTTTTTTAAAGAATCAACATCATCAGCGATAGACCGGACGTTATTTCATAGCGGTCCGGATTTCTCTCTTTACTATTTTTATATAAACTTTCGAATTTAACATGTAACAAATCCCCTGTCTTATATAGTGTTTAGGAGTTTAGTAGTAGTGCTAGTTGTTTTTTGTTTCCGTTTTATGGACTTTGATATTGAATACTGTTTGTTATCTCCATATCCTTAATATTCTAGTTTTAAAAATTGACAAGCTTGTTTCATTCGAAATGCTCGGTATCTATTTATACACAGGGTTTTTTTTTTATTAGTTTTACCAAATTAACCAAATATCAAATAATAACTATTCTACGACGATATTTTTCTCATGATTAACTACAATGGATAACTGATATAAGTTATCATCATGTGTAGCTCATGACCACTCTTTGTTTGGAAAATGACCTTCTTATATACGTAAGAAAAAACTTAAAGGTTCAATAATATACTGAGGACTGATCCAATACTATTCTAAATCAAATCAAATGGCGTATTTGAACACTATGGAGTTACCACGTGGTATGGAAGTACATGTATACCTCTGTATACCTAAAATTTAGGAAGTTTAAAATTTACGGCAACCCATTTTAACCAAGTTCCTGTGACTCGATAACTACAAGTATTGCAAGTATTGCAAGTGCCTGTCATTTATCACCCCACCCCTACTCCAAGCACACAATCCAGCTACTGATCATCTTGAATCTTTCCAATTAGTCAATGCACGTGAATTATAACCAAACCATTTAATTTGTTTATAATAAATCAACCTGCTTGCTTAACAAGAAGCCAATGAGCTATATCGCTTAGCTGAGAAACTTTGATCATGTTATTCTTTACTAGATTTCCCCTTTGTAATACCCATACCGACCCCATAATACCCGAAGGAATCATGATTTGAGAAATGTAGAATCTGCACCTCCCCATGATGCTTCCACATAAGTCTCATCTTTTCAGGACCAATGGTTTTGTGGCCCCGCCCCCTCCCTCCGGGATCACGATATTAACAATTGAGAATCTACACTAAACCCAGGATGCATCTACATAAGTTTCATCTTTTCTATCCCTTGGGTTCTTGAAAATTATTCTAAAATATTTTTCTATATTTTCCGATGTTAACTTTGGATTCCCTATGTTGGCCCCAACCCTACTCCCTTGAGGTCATGAATATATAAACAGAAATGAAGCATCATTCTATACATCGAAGTTTGGTGACACGGATTGATTGAAAGGAGTTATTCATCATCAAAATGATGTAGTTGACAACTAAGAAATTTTGCCAAAAAACTAAATTCACAATTTTTCAAATTTCCGGCGGAAAAAAATATGTGAGACCCATCAGGACATAAACAGTAAGGAAGTTATAAAGTATGTATTCCGATTAAAATTTAGATTTCTTTCAACATTATACATGTATAAAAAAAAATTAAATCATTTTTATTTTATTTTCTCAAGGTGAGAGTTATTTAACTTATCTAATATTAATGCTGACTTTGCATGATCTTAAGGAACATCATACTGCTTTATGCATCAACAGCTAAGGCAGCTTTTTTTAAGTTTCGGCGAAAATAAAGTTTTTAGCTCTTATAAATTAACTAACCCATTTCAAACATATCAACAATCGAGAAAGTGCACTGGAAAGTTGGTTCTTGTAATTATAATAAACAAATACATTGGGATTTTTTTATTTATAGTCCTTCCACTGTTTGACCAGTATACAAGCTTTTTACCCTCTATAACTAAAATCATAAAAGAAAATGTTATATTCTTATCGGTATCATAAAGAAAAAATGTAAGTTAATAGAACATTATAAAACACTAATGTATTTTCATCACCAGTATATCATACCATAGTTTCTACAACCGAAACAGATTATATTGCACCTTTTTTTATGTAAGTCAATTCTGGAAAGTTCATGCGTTTTATTACTTCCAAATATATTGCGTTTAATTTAAAGCATAAACTTATTTAACAAATAAAGGGTATATAATTATATTTACACAGCAGGAATATTAATGTTTTTCTGATGATGACCAAGTCCTTGGAGTTGCATCTATTTATGCAAGTGTAAACACATAAATCTTGTCTCATAATTTGGGATTTATAGGTAATGTATTGCTTCCAAGGAATTATATATTTAGGTAAAAACATATTTACTATATGAGTTGCAGTGTTTTGGATGAAACATATCTTGGAATACCGTTACTGATCATGGATTGATTTATTGTATATTGTTTAACGTCCCTCTCGAGAATTTTTCACTCATATGGAGACGTCACCGTATGCCGGTGAAGGGCTTCAAATTTTGACCGTTACTCGGCACTCAGGGCCATTGAGCAGTGAGGGATCTTTATCGTGCCAACGACTGATCATGGAGGAGAAGGAAGTAAATGAGATATAATAGTTGTACCTGTAAAAAACATTATGATTAAAAACATTGTGTTAAGCTTTTTATGTTATTTCAGATCATCGAATTCTATCTCAGCATCACACTTTTCAATTTTTCCATCTTCAGGTATTGTGCGATTTAAAGATAGGTATGATTCACATCCTTTTTGGTCGCCTTTATCTTTAATCTTTGCTGATTTTGGTGTGAGATAGTTATCTGTTTGCGAATGAGCATTAGTTTTTGTCAGCTCATATTCTTCAAACTTGAAATGATCTCCATATCCTTGTAAATATTCCTTTGTATTTTCTTCCATAAATGCATGGTTTTCCTTCTCCATATTAAGTTTCAGTGATAATCTGCCATTATCTTCTTGGAAAGACAACTTCGTAGACACTGTACCCATATACGAATGACGACAGGCTGGGAAGTTGTATAGATTTTTGCTCGAAGTGTTTGAATTTTGTTCCAGACAAGTATCAGATTGTCGAGCATTTATCAAATTCCTCTCGTGGGTTATCGAAGAAGAGAGGAATTTTCTGAGACCTTGCCTGTAATAGCAGATTAGAAGGTATGTTAAACATGTTGATGAGGCTGTGATTGCGCATAGGCCAATCATCATCCTGTAAATAAATTCTATTCTCTCCTTAGATATTGTCTCAAAATTATTGAAATGTTTTTCTTTGTGATTGAAATTTCCAGTCTTTGATGTCATACTATCAGTTGCGTATTCTATATCAATTATAGCTTCTTGTAATTCTGTTGAATAAATTCCTCTCCTTCTTTGACTTCTTGTTACTTTTACAGAGGTATACTCTGTTGTATCTGAATAAAAACAAACAATTTGGATTATACAATTCCTCTTGCAAAACAGCAGCAGTTGATAAAAAAAAATGTTAGCATTTAAAGATTCTGTTTTACGATTAATTTCATTACATTTTTGCCTTTTCGAAGTCACACTGACACGCAATTAAGTACTCATATGACCGTCTTATTACATAGTTCCCTCATAATAGCTTATTGACCTTTGGTTTGATTCTAATTCGACATTTCAAATTTTAGAGAATGTCATTAACAATCGCATTAAGTGTTCATTTCCTCTTAATTATAATACACAATTTTGAATCGAATTGATCTTTCAATAGATATAAAACGAGATATTAACATTGCTAAAAAAGAAGACAACAAACTTATATATATATATATATATATATATATATATATATATATATATATATATATATATATATATATATATATATATATATATATATATATATATATATATATATATATATATATATATATATATATATATATATATATATATATATATATATATATATATATATATATATATATATGAAGAAAATATATAAGCAATACAAATATATCTACAGGACACAAAGCAAGGATTCCTGGAAATCCATAGGTCATTAGATAAAGGAGTAAGCATCCCCTGTTGACCGGTCGCACAAGCTGCAATCCTAAACAGAGGACCACAAATTAGCACAAAAGTCAAACACAATACGAGTCAATGATCTCAAAGTCTAGGATGCTTACTATATTATGGTTATATTTGCAAACAATGTCATTATAACAGCCATTGAATTTAGGAAACTTACAACGAGGCTGTTGAAATCTCTGCATATTCAACTTATTTGTGAGCAGCATACCCTGCTTTATATTGATCCTATTCAGAAAGTTGGTTGACAAAGATATTCTGTATGCTAAAATGTTTTAGATATACTTGTTGTAAACCAAAATAAATTTCTGGAAAATTCAATACCGTATAGTTTTGATTCTGGTTGATTGGACACAATATTTTTGTTAAAATTGCGGGTTTTTTTCTATGATCGCAGATACATGTAATGTATAAGGCTCAGGGTTAAACGGTCATAAACTTCCAACCAAAGTTTTCCTATTAAGATAATTATTTCCTTCATAAAAAGAGCCCAAGCTTAAAAAAATGATTTTAATGCTAGAAATGCAGGTTTTGATGCTTTAGTATCGCAATAATTTTTGAATATATTGAGAAGAAAATGCTGCTATATTATTCAAACATTGAAAGATAGTGCGACGGTGGCCATTCGAACAAAACACAATCCAAATGTAAATAATGTGTTTATGGTGAAAATGATGCCAGAGACAAATTATCAGTAATTAATCAATCAATTGGGAATTTTTATAATATAAGTATTTGGTTTAAATTATTCGATTTTTGAACGGTTGAACTATTCGAAAGAAACTTTTTTAAAAAATCGAAAACGAGAAATATGAAATAAAATAACTCTGTTATCCCGATGAGATAAATAAATTATCTTTTTTTTGTCTTAAAATTTACTCATTTAAGATCTATATCTTCGGACATCACTAAGCAGTGGTGTGTTATAAAGCAAAACAAACCTGTGTCCACGAATGCATGATAAAATACAAAATTAATGTTTTGACGTAATCACACAACTCACGAAACTTGCGAAATGGCAAACGCAAAGCTTATTTACATACTATTTACACCTAATTTTATTTGCTTTTTAGAGTGTTTTGCTTTTTACCTAAATTTTCATTCATTGAAATGATACTATGCACTTTCGGTTGGGTGGTCATTATAAAGAAAATTCTAGCATTTAAGAACTTAGTGGATGAATCCTGTACATATAAAATTTGTTCATTTTCAAATGGCAAAAAATAGTTCTGTTTATCAAGAATGAAAATTTATTATCTAAAAATACAAATAAATGCCAACTGGTTTTTAACACATTGCATCCAGTGATAAAATGACACATCTTTCCTTGGCAATTGCATTTCTGTAGACATCTTCTTCCATAATATGGACTAGCACATTTATAGAAACAATTTTCTCCCATATAACCAGCTTTACATTCTAAAATTGCAAAACATATACATTATACACTATTTTGCACTATTTTGATACATGTAACAATAACATTGCAGGTTCTCATAAAATTCTAAAGGGGGTTTTACCCGAAATTAAATTTATGAAAATATCGTTATTGACGAAAAAAAAACTTTTATTTTTCTATTTCAATATACATGAATTGTGTTAGCTTTTGGCATTCTACCATAATACTGACCTATGCAGTTTCCCAATTTTACATTCCACTGAAATCCTGAGCAACATTTTGTACCATTTGGTCTAGGGAAAATTATTTTTCTTTTAATGAACTTCTTTCAATTCATCTTTTATCAAAACTATCACGTACAAGAAAGAAAACACACACAATGTAAATTTATTTACATTATAAACTCACCCATCACAACGAAGGCATTTGTTTCGCTGAACATAATGAAATATCAGACCCAAAAACAAATATCCTGCGAATGGCATTGCTTTTATTGCTTAATGTTTTTACAATTAACATTTTTCATTTTGGAAATACACTATAATATATATTCATTTTGATCTTTAATACTTCCTGAACTTATTACAGCATGTATAATATTGCTAGCATTTGTTTCCGCAATCAACTCAAAGAGGGAAATCATAGATATTGTCAAACGATTGTCTATAAGTAAGGGAAATTGACGATTGAAAAGTTAAAATCATTACGTTTATCAAAGAGCTTGAATGTTAGAATACTATGAACGTCTTTTTTCAAATTAAAATATCCAAATATGAAACAAATGCTGTCAACTTCTGTGGTGTCTTTAATTTCAATTTCACCGGGATATATCGTATCGACTTAAGAATGGAAATAACCATTTATAATTGACAATAAGTCGTCGATAAATATTTATGCCACAGCAAGTATTTTCTTCTTCTAACGTATAAGATTAATGACAAATTCAGCTTCATATGAATGCAAAATATGTCTGCTATTAATGAGGTGCAATTGGTATCCATGGGAATTCAATAGATTGTCGGAAGATCTGGTTTTCAAAATCCACACAGATATTGTCATGCAGAAACTTACAGGCCGAGATTTTTAACCGTAGGGTTTTCCCAGGAAAGGGGAAGGACTAATTTTACATGCCTGGCACCCCGAGGCATTGACAGTCGTGCAGACCGTGGGAAGCGCTAATCCCTATACACAAACAGTATACACAGGACGTCCATGGGTATTACCTGTACAGCCTGCTGGCCTACTTTTCATCATAAAATAAGTAGATCTCGACATTGTGAATAAAAAATATCATTAGTAATAATAAATTATCATTGTAAAATTCCATAATTTCAGACATATCTAATATCAAAACAAGCAGAAATCTCACCGGTCGACTTTTGTTAAAAGAGTGAAAACGAGTGAAAACAAGATTTCAGTCATCTATGCACTTTTTATTAGAAAAAAAATTACACAATCTTGATTTTATTGAAACACTATGGGAACATTTTCATTTTTTTTTAATGTTTGTAATACAGATAATTATAATCAATCTTAAATTGTTTGCATCGAAATGGCTTAGTCATTGCGATTGTGATTTAGTGGTGAACATCAGAAAACCGAAAATTGATTTGATGGTGGCCACGCGTGTCAAACAAAAGATATACACAGGGACTAGCAGCTAAATGTCAATCATTTTCAAGTACCCAATAATGGACCGTAATTTATTTGAATGACGGGGGAATATACAGACCAGGTAAATCTGAAGGCGTTACTTATTATCTCGGGCTTTAAGCATGTTCATGATGTCAACTTCAAAGTACTTGAGTGTACAATTAGAATTTTTTAAACACAATAATTTTGCAAAGTAGATTTATGAGTTCCATTTTTATTGAAAACTCTGTCCAAAATTGCCTTTTTTCTAGTTTTTATCTCCACCATTTGTGTAAGTTTATTTCATTAAATATAAAAGCTTAATTGTAATGCTTTCTCGTCTGCTGGGTTCAAAATTTATATTTTTTTTTTTATTTTTCATTCTAATATACCCATATCATCCCCAATCAGGAGCTGTTTCGGAGTATATTTGCAAAATTTGTTAATTTCTAAGTATAGATTCTATGCATGCAGGAACTCATGGTACCTGGTTCTTTGCTTATAATTATTAGTTTTGTGTAAACTAGGCTCATTACAATTCACGCCATATGCATCTCTGAGAATCAACTTTCTTATATGCAAGGAAATGGCTTCCTGTTACCGTTGCTTCATGATCCCAGAATATGACACACACGAGGTTCCATATCTCATTTTTATTTTCTTGGTCTAAAATAATTACAATCCCATGCATTTTAAGAATAACAATTTTTTAATTCTTTGCAATCTTATTATTTTGAGGGTTTCATTTGTTATACTTTTTAATATTTGTTTTTTCAGAAGCAAAGCTGAAGGGAAATTTGGGTTTTTCCCCCATATTATTCTACTTTCGTTTTCTCTTTAAGAATACGCAGAGGACTGTGTCTAAAAGGTGAATGCTTTGTTTGACTTTATATTTTCTATTTCTATTTTTCCATTTTTACATTTACATTTCGGCTGAATAAATTTGTAGTTAAAGCAAACATTTGGATAACAATGAACTCCTGTGCAATAAATATTATGAAAAGAACAAAGAAACCTCGATCTGGGAGCTTTAAAAATCTTATTGATCGCCATTGTACAGATGTTGTAAAAACTGTTTAGGTTATTTTCAGGTTAAAAGGAGGTTGTCAGAATATATGAAAAATTAATATTTGTATAAATAAACCAGTGTAAAGTTATGATTGAAATACTCAAGAATAAGCTTTATGATTCTATTTCCCAAGTATCTAAATATTAAATAAAGGTTGTTATCGCAATCAAGTTCAATCGCCGACTAAAAATATATGTAAGTCCTTGTCAGTATAAGTCTAAATTTTGACTTTGTTGTTATTTTTTAACTTTCCTAAGAAGGTGATTAATATGTGTGATTTTTAAAGATTAAGAAATAAAGTAGAAAATATTAATTGTTTTAATAAGACGACACTTTTTAAAACTAAACTTGATAAGAATTTTTTTTAAAATAAGATTATAAATTAAAAACAAAATGTGTTTGTGAAACACTATGCGCCCGGTGCAACAAAGTTCTAAAAAACAATTCTTAGCAAATAGGTCACAGTCAAAGTCACACGAGCATTGTCCTTGGTGTCATTTGAAAGCACCTAATTTGGGGAGTACGAATACCAAATATAAAGTCTCTATCTCCTATGGTTCAAAAGTTATGGCGAAAATCCGAAAAAAAACTATTTTTAGCGTAAAGGTCACAGTCAAGATCACATTGACTTTGGTATCAGTTGAAAGTGCTTAATTAGTGGAGTATGTATACCAAATATGAAGTCTCTATCTCTCACGGTTCAAAAGTTCTGGCGAAAGTTAAAAAATGCTATTTTTAGCATAAAGGTCACAGCCAAGGTCATAAGGTCAATGACCTTGGTGTCAGTTGAAAGTGCTTAATTAGTGGAGAATGTATATGAAGTCTCTATCTCTCACGGTTCAAAAGTTATGGTGAAGGTAAAAGTTGACAACAGACAGACAAACAGACAAACAGACAGACAGAACAAAAACAATATGCGCCCCGAATAAATTCGGACACATAACAATCAGCTTGTTTAAAGTATTATGAACTGAACGTTTTTTTTTTTTTTTCAGTACGTTATCAAACCCAATTGCAATAGAAATTGCAAAGTAGATTTATGAATTCCATTTTTATTGAAAACTCTGTCCAAAATTGCCTCTTTTCTAGTTTTTATCTCCACCATTTGTGTAAGTTTATTTCATTTAATATAAAAGCTTAATTGTAATGCTTTCTCGTCTGCTGGGTTCAAAATTTATATATTTTTTTTTATTTTTCATTCTAATATACCCATATCATCCCCAATCAGGAGCTGTTTCGGAGTATATTTGCAAAATTTGTTAATTTCTAAGTATAGATTCTATGCATGCAGGAACTCATGGTACCTGGTTCTTTGCTTATAATTATTAGTTTTGTGTAAACTAGGCTCATTACAATTCACGCCATATGCATCTCTGAGAATCAACTTTCTTATATGCAAGGAAATGGCTTCCTGTTACCGTTGCTTCATGATCCCAGAATATGACACACACAAGGTTCCATATCTCATTTTTATTTTCTTGGTCTAAAATAATAACAATCCCATGCATTTTAAGAATAACAATTCTTTAATTTTTTGCAATCTTATTATTTTGAGGGTTTCATTTGTTATACTTTTTAATATTTGTTTTTTCAGAAGCAAAGCTGAAGGGAAATTTGGGTTTTCCCCCATATTATTCTACTTTCGATTTCTCTTTAAGAATACGCAGAGGACTGTGTCTAAAAAGGTGAATGCTTTGTTTGACTTTATATTTTCTATTTTTCTATTTTTACATTTACATTTCGGCTGAATAAATTTGTAGTTAAAGCAAACATTTGGATAACAATGAACTCCTGTGCAATATATATTATGAAAAGAACAAAGAAACCTCGATCTGGGAGCTCTAAAAATCTTATTGATCGCCATTGTACAGATGTTGTAAAAACTGTTAAGGTTATTTTCAGGTTAAAAGGAGGTTGTCAGAATATATGAAAAATTAATATTTGTATAAATAAACCAGTGTAAAGTTATGATTGAAATACTCAAGAATAAGCTTTATGATTCTATTTCCCAAGTATCTAAATATTAAATAAAGGTTGTTATCGCAATCAAGTTCAATCGCCGACTAAAAATATATGTAAGTCCTTGTCAGTATAAGTCTAAATTTTGACTTTGTTGTTATTTTTTAACTTTCCTAAGAGGGTGATTAATATGTGTGATTTTTAAAGATTAAGAAATGGAGTAGAAAATATTAGTTGTTTTAGTAAGACGACACTTTTTAAACCTAAACTTGATAAGATTTTTTTTTAAATAAGATTATAAATTAAAAACAAAATGTGTTTGTGAAACACTATGCGCCCGGTGCAACAAAGTTCTAAAAAAAATTCTTAGCAAATAGGTTACAGTCAAAGTCACACGAGCATTGTCCTTGGTGTTATTTGAAAGCACCTAATTAGGAGAGTACGAATACCAAATATAAAGTCTCTATCTCCTATGGTTTAAAAGTTATGGCGAAAATCCGAAAAAAAACTATTTTTGGCGTAAAGGTCACAGTCAAGATCACATTGACTTTGGTATCAGTTGAAAGTGCTTAATTAGTGGAGTATGTATACCAAATATGAAGTCTCTATCTCTTACGGTTCAAAAGTTCTGGCGAAAATTTAAAAAATACTATTTTTAGCGTAAAGGTCACAGCCAAGGTCATAAGGTCAATGACCTTGGTGTCAGTTGAAAGTGCTTAATTAGTGGAGAATGTATATGAAGTCTCTATCTCTCACGGTTCAAAAGTTATGGTGAAGGTAAAAGTTGACAACAGACAGACAAACAGACAAACAGAAAAACAGACAAACAGACAGACAGGACAAAAACAATATGCGCCCCGAATAAATTCGGGCACATAACAATCAGCTAGTTTAAAGTATTATGAACTGAACGTTTTTTTTTTTTTTTTCAGTACGTTATCAAACCCAATTGCAATAGAAATTGATACAATCAAGACCATGTAATAGAACATTTTCCTATGATGTATTATCCCCTTAGTCGCCATCTTCTAAGGCAAAGTAGTGAATCCTCTTTGAGCAACCAATTTTAAACATGTATGCAAGAAATATATGAAGGGATATTTACAGTTTTAAAATCAATAGAGACTTTCACAAACGTTTATTCATAAGAAAAATATTTATTTTTGAATCAATTATACGGATTTTAACAATTTTTTTTTTATTTTTCATTCTAATATACCCATATCATCCCCAATCAGAAGCTGTTTCGGAGTTTATTTGCAAAATTTGTTAATTTCTAAGTATAGATTCTATGCATGCAGGAACTCATGGTACCTGGTTCTTTGCTTATTGTCTGACGTCTTGGCGTCAGACAGTACTAGATTTAACCAGGGCTTATTTATGCAGTTGTTCCATTAATTTGTTTAGATAGTTCGATGGTGGAAATTTCGATACATGCATAATCTCCGAAGACGCATGTAGTTCGGCCAAGGAGGAAATGCGCTTTTAATCTTTTATTTACTTAACTGGGCACGTAGTCAAATATTTTCTCTTAGTTGCCCTGCTCCCATTATAGTAAAAAAAAACTCCAATCCAACGATTATATTTTGGACGAAAATAGTCTGCGTCTTCTTGTTTCTTATCCTACAGACTTCAGAATTCCATTCATTAATTACGTGTTAAGTAGAAAATCATTGTTACAGTACATCAGATGGTTTGAGAAACAATGTAAGCTTTCAAGAAAAGCAGGGGGAATGGTCAACATGAATAACGCTCTGCCAAGATTGTTATCACTGTTTTTACGCGCCCACTAAGTGATCGAACAAAGATGTTCCCATTAATAAAATTTACATACTTTATTTATTTTGTTTGTTGAATAAAGAAATCGGTAAGGTCATTTAACATTTAAACATTACTTTAACAATGCAAGAGCTTAAATTTATTGTTCTTGCTGTGTTATGTAAAATCATAAATGATAGTGGATTTGCCTCAGCACAGTTTAACTTCAATCTGTCACATCTATAATAACATTAACAGGTTAAAACATAAATCGATTTAATCAAGTACAGGTATGAGATGTTATACATCATTTTGTGAGATACTAAGTCAATTTATTCGGATTTTTTTTAATTCCCGAACGAAAATGTGGTAAAGGTTTATTTCTTTGAATCGTATAAAAATTATTGTTTTCGTATTTTAATGCCAAGATATCGCGTCCGGTTTTCCAAAACAATGCAGTCAATAAAAGTGTAATTGATGCAAATCATCCATATTCCGATCCCAAACGCTGGCAAGACAATTTACGGCAACAGATTCCAGGGGGGATCGTAGGTTTTCAGCTTTCTTAGTTAAAGAAAAATAAATTTGATACATTCCACCATTTATTTCAATCATTGATATTTGAAAGGCAGCTTATTTTTAATGAAGAATTAGTTTTGATATGAAAATATACCTAAAAATTTGAAAGGCAGCTTATTTTAAATGAAGAATTAGTTTACTACAATTAATTCAAATTTCTTTTATTTTACTTTTTTTAACAGCGTTTGATTTAGAGGCCCCCAAAGGGTGTATGTGCAAAGGGTTCTAGATAATAAGTATTCTACCTTTGTTTTAAACCCAGTAAAACTTGAGATCCCTCCCTCAAAACTGTTGACATTAATTGACCCGCGCACATCTTCCCTTGGGAAGAATCACAGATTAACGGTAATTCGGCTTTTATTGAATTCGATCTCCGGGAAGAATGCATAAGTTTTCTTGTCATGACTATTGTACTGGTAAAACGTTCCATAAATTTTAATGATAATGGTGTAGACCAATTGTTATATTACATTTGTATGACATGTCATCATAAAATGGTTTGAAAATGAACTAAACTTAAGTACTGTGGTTTCATCAATATTCGATGAGCACCAATTTTCGTAAATTTCGTTGTTGAGCAGATCCACGAATTCAAATGTTCACGAAATATGACATTCATTTGTATAGGCAATGCTTTTGTCCACGAAATTACGTATCCTCGAAAACGTCTGTTTTACAAAATCCATGAAAATTGATGCCAAGGAAAATTGATGAAATCACAGTAATTGAAAAAATATATATAGATTAAAAAATAATTTCTGTTGACATTATGTAGTCTGAACTTCTCAGTTGGAAATAACATTTCATTTGGTAATTTTATTTAACATGCTACATGTACAAATCCCCCTCTTCCACAGAAAAAATTGATATAAAATAAAACGTAGTACTAATGAGAAAAGAAAGATGTTGCTGCACGTAAATTGTGTTCAATAAATTCATCTTCACCGTGATTTAAAAGAAATTGAGCTGCCATGGCAATACTGTTTACAATGGTCTTTTAAAGATAGATTACTGAACGAAAGAAATTATGTACTATATATATAATTATTGATTTATTTCCGCTTTTTGAATTTAAGCAAACCACGTCAGACGAGCTTTTTAGGAAAGCTAATACTTGTAATTATTAGTTTTGTGTAAACTAGGCTCATTACAATTCACGCCATATGCATCTCTGAGAATCAACTTTCTTATATGCAAGGAAATGGCTTCCTGTTACCGTTGCTTCATGATCCCAGAATATGACACACACAAGGTTCCATATCTCATTTTTATTTTCTTGGTCTAAAATAATAACAATCCCATGCATTTTAAGAATAACAATTCTTTAATTTTTTGCAATCTTATTATTTTGAGGGTTTCATTTGTTATACTTTTTAATATTTGTTTTTTCAGAAGCAAAGCTGAAGGGAAATTTGGGTTTTCCCCCATATTATTCTACTTTCGATTTCTCTTTAAGAATACGAAGAGGACTGTGTCTAAAAAGGTGAATGCTTTGTTTGACTTTATATTTTCTATTTTTCTATTTTTACATTTACATTTCGGCTGAATAAATTTGTAGTTAAAGCAAACATTTGGATAACAATGAACTCCTGTGCAATATATATTATGAAAAGAACAAAGAAACCTCGATCTGGGAGCTCTAAAAATCTTATTGATCGCCATTGTACAGATGTTGTAAAAACTGTTAAGGTTATTTTCAGGTTAAAAGGAGGTTGTCAGAATATATGAAAAATTAATATTTGTATAAATAAACCAGTGTAAAGTTATGATTGAAATACTCAAGAATAAGCTTTATGATTCTATTTCCCAAGTATCTAAATATTAAATAAAGGTTGTTATCGCAATCAAGTTCAATCGCCGACTAAAAATATATGTAAGTCTTTGTCAGTATAAGTCTAAATTTTGACTTTGTTGTTATTTTTTAACTTTCCTAAGAGGGTGATTAATATGTGTGATTTTTAAAGATTAAGAAATGGAGTAGAAAATATTAGTTGTTTTAGTAAGACGACACTTTTTAAACCTAAACTTGATAAGATTTTTTTTTAAATAAGATTATAAATTAAAAACAAAATGTGTTTGTGAAACACTATGCGCCCGGTGCAACAAAGTTCTAAAAAAAAATTCTTAGCAAATAGGTTACAGTCAAAGTCACACGAGCATTGTCCTTGGTGTTATTTGAAAGCACCTAATTAGGAGAGTACGAATACCAAATATAAAGTCTCTATCTCCTATGGTTTAAAAGTTATGGCGAAAATCCGAAAAAAAACTATTTTTGGCGTAAAGGTCACAGTCAAGATCACATTGACTTTGGTATCAGTTGAAAGTGCTTAATTAGTGGAGTATGTATACCAAATATGAAGTCTCTATCTCTTACGGTTCAAAAGTTCTGGCGAAAATTTAAAAAATACTATTTTTAGCGTAAAGGTCACAGCCAAGGTCATAAGGTCAATGACCTTGGTGTCAGTTGAAAGTGCTTAATTAGTGGAGAATGTATATGAAGTCTCTATCTCTCACGGTTCAAAAGTTATGGTGAAGGTAAAAGTTGACAACAGACAGACAAACAGACAAACAGAAAAACAGACAAACAGACAGACAGGACAAAAACAATATGCGCCCCGAATAAATTCGGGCACATAACAATCAGCTAGTTTAAAGTATTATGAACTGAACGTTTTTTTTTTTTTTTTTTTCAGTACGTTATCAAACCCAATTGCAATAGAAATTGATACAATCAAGACCATGTAATAGAACATTTTCCTATGATGTATTATCCCCTTAGTCGCCATCTTCTAAGGCAAAGTAGTGAATCCTCTTTGAGCAACCAATTTTAAACATGTATGCAAGAAATATATGAAGGGATATTTACAGTTTTAAAATCAATAGAGACTTTCACAAACGTTTATTCATAAGAAAAATATTTATTTTTGAATCAATTATACGGATTTTAACAATTTTTTTTTTATTTTTCATTCTAATATACCCATATCATCCCCAATCAGAAGCTGTTTCGGAGTTTATTTGCAAAATTTGTTAATTTCTAAGTATAGATTCTATGCATGCAGGAACTCATGGTACCTGGTTCTTTGCTTATTGTCTGACGTCTTGGCGTCAGACAGTACTAGATTTAACCAGGGCTTATTTATGCAGTTGTTCCATTAATTTGTTTAGATAGTTCGATGGTGGAAATTTCGATACATGCATAATCTCCGAAGACGCATGTAGTTCGGCCAAGGAGGAAATGCGCTTTTAATCTTTTATTTACTTAACTGGGCACGTAGTCAAATATTTTCTCTTAGTTGCCCTGCTCCCATTATAGTAAAAAAAAACTCCAATCCAACGATTATATTTTGGACGAAAATAGTCTGCGTCTTCTTGTTTCTTATCCTACAGACTTCAGAATTCCATTCATTAATTACGTGTTAAGTAGAAAATCATTGTTACAGTACATCAGATGGTTTGAGAAACAATGTAAGCTTTCAAGAAAAGCAGGGGGAATGGTCAACATGAATAACGCTCTGCCAAGATTGTTATCACTGTTTTTACGCGCCCACTAAGTGATCGAACAAAGATGTTCCCATTAATAAAATTTACATACTTTATTTATTTTGTTTGTTGAATAAAGAAATCGGTAAGGTCATTTAACATTTAAACATTACTTTAACAATGCAAGAGCTTAAATTTATTGTTCTTACTGTGTTATGTAAAATCATAAATGATAGTGGATTTGCCTCAGCACAGTTTAACTTCAATCTGTCACATCTATAATAACATTAACAGGTTAAAACATAAATCGATTTAATCAAGTACAGGTATGAGATGTTATACATCATTTTGTGAGATACTAAGTCAATTTATTCGGATTTTTTTTTAATTCCCGAACGAAAATGTGGTAAAGGTTTATTTCTTTGAATCGTATAAAAATTATTGTTTTCGTATTTTAATGCCAAGATATCGCGTCCGGTTTTCCAAAGCAATGCAGTCAATAAAAGTGTAATTGATGCAAATCATCCATATTCCGATCCCAAACGCTGGCAAGACAATTTACGGCAACAGATTCCAGGGGGGATCGTAGGTTTTCAGCTTTCTTAGTTAAAGAAAAATAAATTTGATACATTCCACCATTTATTTCAATCATTGATATTTGAAAGGCAGCTTATTTTTAATGAAGAATTAGTTTTGATATGAAAATATACCTAAAAATTTGAAAGGCAGCTTATTTTAAATGAAGAATTAGTTTACTACAATTAATTCAAATTTCTTTTATTTTACTTTTTTTAACAGCGTTTGATTTAGAGGCCCCCAAAGGGTGTATGTGCAAAGGGTTCTAGATAATAAGTATTCTACCTTTGTTTTAAACCCAGTAAAACTTGAGATCCCTCCCTCAAAACTGTTGACATTAATTGACCCGCGCACATCTTCCCTTGGGAAGAATCACAGATTAACGGTAATTCGGCTTTTATTGAATTCGATCTCCGGGAAGAATGCATAAGTTTTCTTGTCATGACTATTGTACTGGTAAAACGTTCCATAAATTTTAATGATAATGGTGTAGACCAATTGTTATATTACATTTGTATGACATGTCATCATAAAATGGTTTGAAAATGAACTAAACTTAAGTACTGTGGTTTCATCAATATTCGATGAGCACCAATTTTCGTAAATTTCGTTGTTGAGCAGATCCACGAATTCAAATGTTCACGAAATATGACATTCATTTGTATAGGCAATGCTTTTGTCCACGAAATTACGTATCCTCGAAAACGTCTGTTTTACAAAATCCATGAAAATTGATGCCAAGGAAAATTGATGAAATCACAGTAATTGAAAAAATATATATAGATTAAAAAATAATTTCTGTTGACATTATGTAGTCTGAACTTCTCAGTTGGAAATAACATTTCATTTGGTAATTTTATTTAACATGCTACATGTACAAATCCCCCTCTTCCACAGAAAAAATTGTTATAAAATAAAACGTAGTACTAATGAGAAAAGAAAGATGTTGCTGCACGTAAATTGTGTTCAATAAATTCATCTTCACCGTGATTTAAAAGAAATTGAGCTGCCATGGCAATACTGTTTACAATGGTCTTTTAAAGATAGATTACCGAACGAAAGAAATTATGTACTATATATATAATTATTGATTTATTTCCGCTTTTTAAATTTAAGCAAACCACGTCAGACGAGCTTTTTAGGAAAGCTAATACTTGTAATTATTAGTTTTGTGTAAACTAGGCTCATTACAATTCACGCCATATGCATCTCTGAGAATCAACTTTCTTATATGCAAGGAAATAGCTTCCTGTTACCGTTGCTTCATGATCCCAGAATATGACACACACGAGGTTCCATATCTCATTTTTATTTTCTTGGTCTAAAATAATAACAATCCCATGCATTTTAAGAATAACAATTCTTTAATTTTTTGCAATCTTATTATTTTGAGGGTTTCATTTGTTATACTTTTTAATATTTGTTTTTTCAGAAGCAAAGCTGAAGGGAAATTTGGGTTTTTCCCCCATATTATTCTACTTTCGTTTTCTCTTTAAAAATACGCAGAGGACTGTGTCTAAAAAGGTGAATGCTTTGTTTGACTTTATATTTTCTATTTCTATTTTTCTATTTTTACATTTACATTTCGGCTGAATAAATTTGTAGTTAAAGCAAACATTTGGATAACAATGAACTCCTGTGCAATAAATATTATGAAAAGAACAAAGAAACCTCGATCTGGGAGCTCTAAAAATCTTATTGATCGCCATTGTACAGATGTTGTAAAAACTGTTTAGGTTATTTTCAGGTTAAAAGGAGGTTGTCAGAATATATGAAAAATTGATATTTATATAAATAAACCAGTGTAAAGTTATGATTGAAATACTCAAGAATAAGCTTTATGATTCTATTTCCCAAGTATCTAAATATTAAATAAAGGTTGTTATCGCAATCAAGTTCAATCGCCGACTAAAAATATATGTAAGTCCTTGTCAGTATAAGTCTAAATTTTGACTTTGTTGTTATTTTTTAACTTTCCTAAGAGGGTGATTAATATGTGTGATTTTTAAAGATTAAGAAATGGAGTAGAAAATATTAGTTGTTTTAGTAAGACGAAATTTTTTAAAACTAAACTTGATAAGAATTTTTTTTAAATAAGATTATAAATTAAAAACAAAATGTGTTTGTGAAACACTATGCGCCCGGTGCAACAAAGATCTAAAAAACAATTCTTAGCAAATAGGTCACTGTCAAAGTCACACGAGCATTGTCCTTGGTGTCATTTGAAAGCACCTAATTAGGGGAGTACGAATACCAAATATAAAGTCTGTATCTCCTATGGTTCAAAAGTTATGGCGAAAATCCGAAAAAAAAACTATTTTTAGCGTAAAGGTCACAGTCAAGATCACATTGACTTTGGTATCAGTTGAAATTGCTTAATTAGTGGAGTATGTATACCAAATATGAAGTCTCTATCTCTCACGGTTCAAAAGTTCTGGCGAAAGTTAAAAAATGCTATTTTTAGCGTAAAGGTCACAGCCAAGGTCATAAGGTTAATGACCTTGGTGTCAGTTGAAAGTGCTTAATTAGTGGAGAATGTATATGAAGTCTCTATCTCTCACGGTTCAAAAGTTATGGTGAAGGTAAAAGTTGACAACAGACAGACAAACAGATAAACAGAAAAACAGACAAACAGACAGACAGGACAAAAACAATATGCGCCCCGAATAAATTCGGGCACATAACAATCAGCTAGTTTAAAGTATTATGAACTGAACGTTTTTTTTCAGTACGTTATCAAACCCAATTGCAATAGAAATTGATACAATCAAGACCATGTCATAGAACATTTTCCTATGATGTATTATCCCCTTAGTCGCCATCTTCTAAGGCAAAGTAGTGAATCCTCTTTGAGCAACCAATTTTAAACATGTATGCAAGAAATATATGAAGGGATATTTACAGTTTTAAAATCAATAGAGACTTTCACAAACGTTTATTCATAAAAAAAATATTTATTTTTGAATCAATTATACGGATTTTAACAATTTCAGTTTTCTGTGATATGGAAGAAGATGGCTTTCATAAACAACATTTCTTTTATTCTTGTGAGTATATCAATTATTATATAGTATAAAAGGGTTAATTTAACTTTCTAATAAAGCTAATTCTTAAATTGAAGAACAAACTGCACAAAATTAATTTTGTGAGGTTGTATATAAGGGAAAAAACTGAAAGACAATAATTTCAGTCAAAAAATAATTTTCAAAGTATAAAGCAATTTAATGACCACTAATACAATTTCAAACTTTAATATTGTCTGATCTGGAATCAAAAGCAGCATTTATGAAAGTCAGGTATACCCAATTACGTCAGTAGTGCAACATTTGAAGTTTTGCATTGTCTAATAAAAATACCAAGTACATTATTCAATTAAATTATTGTTTTATCATGTTATATGGAATATTTAAGAAAGGATGTGGAACAAAAATGCCTTGGAAATTGATTTTGACTACACAACATTCATTAACCAGATGAATTATAATCGGGAAAATAAAATAAAATACTAAAACATGGAACTTTGCGATACAAAGACCAACCTATACATGGAAGTAGAAATGACTGTTTTTTGCCTACAACAGAGAATATAAGTTAATCCTTACCTTTAACGAATCTTTTTAAAAATTGAATCTGTTGGTTACTTATTTATTAAGTTATTTCAAACATAAATGTTGAATAAACTTTATTTTTTTTCTATATGAGAAATGAGTATAAATGTAAGTAAGGCCCCTTAATTGCCACTGCTAAATACGTCTTTTATTATCATTAAAGTGAAACCTTGTATTAAGCTATCATTTGAGTCCATTACACTTATTATGACTACTTTTTTTCAGAAAATACTAATTTTACTTATTTTAACAATTTACCTGTGTACAAAATGAAGCGGAACCCTAAACAATTAACGTATTAACGCTATAAGTTATATGTTTGCGGAAACACTTTATGCCTATTAGTCGAGAAAATAATTTTTCACATTGTCAGTTTATTTCTTCTATTATGAAATTATTAAGTAAAGTGTGTTGCAAGTACATGTATCTAATTGGGTAATAAATCTATATAATAAATTACTCGATTTTAGTAATATATACCTGTGGTTTTTTCTATGTCTATGGTATTTCTATTTTTTCATATCCATGATAAAATTCAGACTTACCCAGTTTTGCTTTAATGAACGAAACAAGATATTAACTCTTCAATGTTAATGAATTTATATTTACAGATTTCTTTGATTAAATTAATATCACTGGTTTCATCCATTCCTTTGGGAAATGGAGTCCGAGTACCATTTTGTCCAGTGGATAAGGGGTCATGGATGGCGGCTTCAAAGAGATTAAATTGTGAACAGTATAATAGGGATTATATGTATCATTGTACTATTAATCCCTATTTAAATGCTACCTTCGAGACCTGCAACATAGAAAGAGAAATTGTTGGTAGGTATTATGCAAGATGTTTTGTCAATTTGTAATATTAATTTACAAAAAAGTATTATATCAAAGAGATAATATTTTTGTTAAGTTATATTGCTTATGTTACTGTCCTTACATGTAAAATATTCTACTGGCTAAACTACACACTTAGATCAAAATGCAGAAAGTAGACAAAACATAGAAAATACAGTTGGAATTAGATTTTGAAAATGTGTCATATGACGAGTAAGCAATGATAGACAGTAGCAATGGAATTAAGAAGACAAAAAAAGCATTTTAACTCACACGAAGAAGTTTCAAAAATATATATATATATATATATATATATATATATATATATATATATATATATATATATATATATATATATATATATATATATATATATATATATATATATATATATATATATATATATATATATATATATATATATATATATATATATATATATATATATATATATATATATATATATATTGTAAATGTATTATTTTTAGCGTATACGATATTTAGCGGAAAGTGATCTTCAAACAAGTTAGCGTAGATTTGATTTAGCGCCTTTCTTGATATTCTAATTCATTTATCATTGCTTTAGACATTTAGCGATGTACTTGAATAGGCGGAAGTATCTTTCCGCCAAAAGCGCTAAAAAGAATACACCGCCAAATGTAATTCGTTTACAGTATTATTTACATAATTATGATTTACTTAGTTTCTGTACCAAGGAATTAAACACGTCGGAGAGAATACTCGAAATCGGGTATTATCCTTGAAATCGCGTATAATACCCGATAATAGGGTATCGTTGAATCCGCGAAATCGGGTATAGGAGGTGTAATCACCTAATAAAACTTAAACAATGGGATGGCGCATGTTGCCGAGTTAACTTTCATCTAGATACACATGTTTTCTAAAGGTATCACGAGCCAAGTAAGAATTTGGGCGTCAAGATTAATGCGCTCAGGACAACAAATACCCGTGGAGCTCAGTACATTATATGATCTGCACACAAAAAGGCGTTCGATTTGCTTTATATTTTTCATAATATTGAAAGTATATGCATCTTCCTAATGTTCATTCCCAACACAACAGAATTGTAAAGTATCAGAATTTGGGAATGTATAATAATTCCACATCAACACGACAAACATGAACAATTTGTAAATAAGTCAAATCATACGGAAACACATTTCACACACAATATATGATGCCATTTATAAACAAGGGATTGTCTATCGTATCTAATTATGCGTCATTAATTACTTTCACATTCACCTTGTGCATAAAATCAAATTTATTTATGAATGTATGAATAATGTAATGATAAAAATGTCTAAAAGTTCGGCTAAAAAAACCTTTTTCTCTTTTTTTTGGAAAATCTTTTTTTTATCATTCATACATATTTGCAGAATATATGTCTTCAACATCTTAGCAGAGACAATGATAATTTCATGAATACAGCTTATGAGAGATCATAATTGTTGATTGTTTAATTTCGCTAAGCCATCAATATTTTACCAGTTCTTGGCGACTTCAAAAGGGGGGGGGGGGCTAAAGGCTTCTTAAACACTTCTGACAAAACAACCTCGACTGTATTCTGCATGTGTCCAAGAGACCTCTCTTTGAATGTCACGGTCGGTTAAAATCGGTTATATATTTTTAATTTTATGGAACATTTATTCATCAAATAAAAATCATATAGGTAAACAAAAAGCAACCTGTTATTTTCTAACACAATATGATACTACAAGTAACTAGAATTCATGTTTATTTTTTAACACATTTTTTCATTATAGATGAGTATTAGGAAAAGTTATTGCCATGAGTAATAAGTATCATAGATAAAATAACTAAAAGAAAACTGTGACATATTGTCTATAACCAATCAGATAGTGCGTTGTATAGCATATTATAATGAGGTATGAGATAACGATATAAAAAAAATATAGAAGGTGAAGAGGTAAAATTTACCCTGTCTATCAAATAGTATAATAAAGAAAGGAAGTGGCTACAATTAATTTTTATGAAATTTTAATGTCAAATGAGGAATTACATTCCCAAAAAGTAAGACAAGAGTTTCCAAGGCGCAATTGAACACTCCATTATTTCAGTTTGTTCATTAACATGTTCATAAATGTAATAATTATAAGAAATGTGAAAATTTGACTATGTAATTCATATTTCAATATGACTGTACCTCGATCTACAAGTATATTGAGAAATTCAATGTATTATAAGCTCATGAAAAGATGTACACATTTGACTTTTATTTATACCCCCCCCCCCCCAGAAAAAAAACCCCAAGAAAATCCTGTTCACATAACTTCTTGCTCTCGATTTTCACACATATGCATAAAATAAAGGTAAAATATCATATGTATCGATTAAAATACAACCAAAAAAAATTACGGTGTCTTTGAATAAAAAATTTCCATGCTAAAATGACATAAAAAAGATACTTACCTTCAATTAGCTATTTTCAACCTGTTTTCCCGTGGGTATTTATTTGATATTATTTATTTTCTTCTTTATAATAACGTTGGTATTCTATTATGGCAGAGATATACAATTATGACTCGCATATATTGTACTCTCTAACTGTTAGGAATAATTTATATTTCATGTGAAAGGGACGCCATACATTTTTCAGTAAAAATACATTACACGGCGTTAGTCGTTTAATTTCTTTAAAGTTTCAAATTTTGTAAATAGTGCACAAATTAGAAAATTAAGTATATGGAATACTTAAATGGGAAATAAAGACAAACGAAGTGTATGTGAAACCGGGTGGAAATAACCAACAAACACAATCCATCTGGTTTATAATACGTGGGTTTATTTTGATGGTGTAATTTTGCCCATAAAGATGTATGGTAAAGATGACATAGATGACCCTGTAATATGTATTAAAATTATGAATACAAGAACAATAACTCTGCATGCAAATTTTCACAAGCAAAGCAGTTATGATATAAAATAAAACCAAAATTTCCAATATTAACTATTATCCTTTTATACAACAATACTTTTCATAAACTCATTATAAATAAGCTTAGAATATTCATAGTTTCTGATGAACACAAACTAAAGAAATTTAAAATAACTGATAACTTCATGCAAAACTCTCAAATTACATGAATCGAACAAATAAAGAAAAATGAGTTTAAATTCTTTTAAAAATACCTTGTAATTCTTCAATATTTAAAAATAACGCTGAATTCATTTTTATACCAGCAAACAGTTAACCTTACCTCCCATGAGGTGCAAAGGTCAGCTAAATACAAAACTCAGCTGTCTAGCAGTCAAAATAATATGTTGTGTTCTAAATGTAAAAGAAATGATACGTTGTTCAATGTAAGGAATTATTTATAAAAATGAATACTTTAGGAATTTATTTACTTCAAAACTTTATGACTTAAAAGCACTCATTATCTCCATTCTAATTTTTAGGAAATTATTAAGAAATAAAATAAACTCTATTCAATGCTGTTATATTTACATAACTTATTTACAGCTTTCATACGAATCTCACAAAAGACTTTCACTCCCTCATACTCAGCCTAACATTCAAACATTCACACAAAGTAGATAAAGTAGGGAAAATAGAGAAATGTGAAGACCTAAACTAAACACTAACCTGGTAATGGAATAAACTCAGTCCACACTTATTTTAAACCTGAGAATATCAAGTACTGATCAAGGAAAACTTCTAAAATGTATCAGAACATACACACCCATTTGAACGCTTGGGCATGAAAAACAAGAATAGAATTCCCTCCTAAAATCACCTGACCAATCCAGAATGACCACTTTCTAACCAGATCTATAAATAGCTACAAATCTACAGGTAAACCCAAAAGAAAGATAACTAAATACTTTACCTGTAAGACTTCATAAATAATAAAATTTAAAAAAAACACATACTTTAATTCATAGTTTGAATGAAATAAATCTTTATTTAAATATTTCAATTTAAACTCTGAAAATAATAATTAAATCATCGAAAATTCCTGAAAAATAAATTTATTAAAAACATATAAAATTTCACTCTATTACATATGTATTTGTTTTTAGAAATTATATTGAAAAATTATAACGCCATTGTGTCCTCTTTGTTACACCAGCAGTGTTTGTCGTGTGATTTTAAACTTATATGACAACCGTATAAATTAGGTTTAATAAAAATAAATCCCCAAGATACTGATGTACAAGTAACAGTAACTGGCATAATGCGCCGTTGCCTTATTCTTTAGTTTTTATAGAAAGTTGCACTGAATACCCGATTTCGCGGATTCAACGATACCCTAATATCGGGTATTATACGCGATTTCACGGATAATACCCGATTTTGAGTATTCTCTCCGACCTGTTAAAGGTAAGCAATGCCTTTCCTTTATTGCAATAGATGTTTTTGCCTCACGCATGTTGCTGATGTTTCGGTGTAACACTCCTTCAATAAATAATATACAAATATTTTCACTAATAGTACTTTTATGTATTTTTAAAAAATTGAAATTTAGAATTGTGTGAAAAAAAAATGAGAAAATACATCAAATATATATAAAAATATCTCGAATTAATAACTACTATTACAAATAGGTTACAAATGTACTGAATATAATCAGAGAGGTCAAATAATTCAAGAAAGTGTCTTGAAATGTCAATACCATGAACAAGCTTGCCCAGAACGTTATTATTCAACAGAAGCATACAAGTGTAAGTAGACTGTTTAAAATATTTACTCAATTGTCATTAAAAAAAAAATGAGTAGTTATTTAGAATTAACAAAACCCAGTCAGTCTTAAATTGATCCACACTGGCGTTTTTATAAATAATATGCACCTTTGTTATTTTATTTAACTGCTCATATTGAAGCTTTACTTTACATTTGAATCAATATGGATGCATTATAAAATGAAAATTTATATTTCAATAAGAAGCTAAAGTACAGATGCTATCTCTTATTTATTAGTTAAATTATCCGAGTTGTAAAATAAATTTGATACAAATTTATCTTTGCGAAAACACAAGCGTTTTGGCTAAAGGAACTATTATATTTTTTGTTTTCCTTTTGTTCAGATCAAGGCTGCTACATTGAGGTTTACAGAAAAATGAAAATCTGCCCAGAAGAAACTTCATTCTCATCCGATATTCCTTCTGATATAAGTTCCATTGTGTCGACAACGTTAGAAAATTGCATATCAGAAGAAAAAGAGTATGTTTCGGCCATATTTGTATCAATTAATTAAATCATATCTTTTTGACTTTCTGATCATAAGAAAAAGTTTTCACTTAAGCATATACTGACCGAACAGGTAATGTCAAGTATGATTGTTAACATTATATAAAGATTCATATCATGAAACATACAGTGTATATTTTTACAATTGTGGCATTTTATTTTTCAGAAACAGTATGTGTGTACAAACCATTCTTTGTATTGCATTTTTCATAATATTTGGGCTTGAAAACATTTGTTTATGTGTGTGGATCTTCAGAAGACGATTTGCGTGTAAAGATATTTCGAAAGCAAGCATAGGTGAGACAACGAAATTTACATTCATTTACAGTTAATATTTTCTCTTCACAATGTACTACACGTGAAAAAATGATAGACTGTATACTACAATTTTGGACAATCAGCTTGCATTTAGTCATCATCTCTTTCGAGCTGTTGAATTCAAAATTTTGACTTCATTAGTAAACAGAACGTATTCATTTATTTAACATAATTATTAGGTTTTGAGTATTAAAAACTTAATCTTAATAATGAAGACAATGTGGTTTTTTTAAATACCGATGCCCCCGTATGACAGATTATTCATTGTAAGGGGGGGGGGGGGTTGAAGTTTTTAAATACAAGTCAAACTGCAAGGTTACGAGGTCCTTTTGTTTTCAAAGAAAGGTCTTGTCACAAGTAATACACCTGTGATACATGAAAGCCCTAGTGCTACACATAACTGTTCAAAATCAAAAGTGTAAGTTTTTTTTATTAAATTAGTTAGACTCTCAGGTCAATGTCAATAGGTCAAAAATAGTCATACCCATTTAAAGGAACAGTCATATAATGAAGACACTTGTGAAGTATGAAAGCCCAAGAACCAGTTGTTTAAAAGTTCAGGCTAACCAAACTTTTTCGTTTGAAACTTTGTGAAATCTTTTCTTTGAACGATTTTGTTTATTTGTATCATCAACGTTTTTTCAATAGCTTTCTGGTTTCAGAAAGTGTTCATAATACAATGTACATGTAGATCATCATCTGACATATCGATTCAGTTATGAGACAAAAACTAAATATGCAAGTGATAATTATAAATGTTAATTGCTATAATATGAGTGAACTTTAAAAGCTATACGATTTGGGTCCCTGTGTTTTGCGCAAAATAAAATCCCGAAGTTCATTTACTTTATGTTTTATAGGTATTAAACCAGGGATGGGGTAATTGAAAAAAGTAATTGTAATTGACTGTAATTAATTACATTTTTTGAAGTAAATGGATGTAATTTGTAATTGAACTTTTTTTCAATTACTTGCAATTGTAATTTAATTTATTACACTGAAAAAATACCATGTAATTTCAATTACTTTTTCAATTACATTCAATTAATTCATATACTACACATGCATGATAAATTGTCAACACGACCTCCCCATTATACTGTCTTTTATTTTATTGCAAAACATATCCTCGGTCCTTCAATTATACAGAAGACAGTTTATTTTATAATTATAATGTAGTTTCTTTCTAATCATTATATAAAATTAGGATTGTTTTGTTTTATGTTTATTTAAATTTTGCACCACCATTCTTTAATAGATCTATTCAGCTATGAAACACATACAATTTATTATATTTCAATCTCTGTTGTTTGATCAACATAGAATAAGAATGTGTGTGTCAAGAAAAAAAAAAGAAAAGGAAAGTGTGTGTCATTAATGAAGTTCTCTCTTGTTGGTATGAAGAGATAATTGCCCTCCACAGCTTAAATTGCAATCAAAACAAATCAACCACTCTAAAGACATATTCATTCCATGATTATGATTACAAAGCCAATGCATGGGGACAATTATTTCAATTAAAAATGCTCCGCTAGTTTGAGAAAAGAAAAACTTTCAATTTGATAATTGTTTTAACATCTAAACAGAATTTTATGAATTTTGTATCTGAAAAAGATATGTTTTGTAAAAGTATTATATAAAGTAAAAATGCAATTTAGAATCTCGGCCATTACGGTTGCCTTTAAAAGAAATATTCAATTTGAGGGGATATAGTTGAGACTTATTTAACTCTATTATGAAAAACCCTGTTAATCAAACATCATAACCCATGCAATTTGTGTACATGTGCATGTAGGTTTTGTGTGGAGGCAATTACATCAAACTGATCTTGAATAGTTCTTTACTGTTTTGTAAATAAAAGTTACGATTTAAACCACAAAGATACACAATGCCTTCTAGCATATTATTTTTTGTATTTGTTTGTGCAGAGGCTGCGCTTATATACAAATGAATGATCCCTGTTCTGTATATTCATATGATTAAATTTTAAAAAAATCAAAAAATTGAAAATGTTATTTGTAATTCAATTAATTACTTTTGTAAAGTAATTGTAATTTAATTAATTACACGTCTTTGAAAGCCTGTAATTTAATTGTAATTTAATTGAAGAAAAAGTCAAAGTAATTATGAATTAATTAATTAATTACTTTTTAAAGTAATTGACCCCATCCCTGTATAAAACAATGTCCGAAGAGCAGGTTTACTTGGAAATAATGCCAAGCGACAATAACTTTTGAGACGGGGACCTAGTTTTGTCACATTTTTTGTTATTTATATGCATACCAGTTTCATAACTACATTGTTTACATCGAGCGACCCGTCGAAAGGAGGAGAAGACGGGTAGAAGATCCCCCAGTCCAAATCTTTATCTTTACAATACATAGGTGTCGGTAACAAAAGGGGGAGGGGAGCAATAAACCCCAAAAGGGTAAGCTGCGTTTTCAATGCTTATAAGATGTATATATCTTTCCAAAATTGGGGGTTAAGCCCCCCTCCCCTGGCCCTTCACCCGCTATCGATGTCTATGCTACACCCAAAACATGTATATACGAGGAGTGATCAAAAAGTTCGGGAACTAATTGAATATCTTCCATAAAAGAAACAATATTTGGTTTCAATGTTGATTATATTTTAAATTAATCCTCCTCGATTTTAATGCACATTAACCACCGCTCTGCCCATGCGTGAATCACGTGATATTGGCGGTCACGTGACCCCCTCCGTAGCGTTCTGTCACAAAAGTTGGAAGATTTTTCTGAGTTTTATATTTCTTTCCATGTGAGTTAATTTTTGTGACAAGAACAGTTCATTTGTCAGAAATGGTCATATCTCGGCAACAGAATGGGTGGATAAGAATATCCTTTCCAAAAAATAAGCATGGCAACCATTAAAACACAAATATTCTGTCTCGGGAGAGACCTTTATTCAAGGTGGATAGAGAATGGGTGCCTCCTTTTTATCATATCTAATATGTTTAAAATCTAAAATAAACGATATCTTAGGTATTTGATAATTATATCATTGTACAAATATTCAACTATTTTTCAAAGTGTTTATTGGAGGTCTTTGATAGTAAATTGCTTAATTTAAAATACATATCTTTTCAAACTTGCTTTCACTGGGCAAGATGACAAGTATCATTTTTAACCATCTGCCTTCTTTCACTAAAACGATCAATCCAGTCATTAATTGAATTTATAGGAACTCATTTATCTCAATAAACTGTGCACAAATTATTATGTGATACTGCAGAGGGATTTCTAAGATATACTATAAATTGTACAGTCGTTTGTTAAACGAGTTCGACTGAGACAACCATTTTCCGTCACAATTGACCTACATAGTGAGGTCATTTTCACATTGTGACGTCACATCAAGGAGAAAAACTTTATTCAGCATATGCTATTTACAGACCTTGTGTATTGCTATGTGTGAACAGAATTTCATTTTAATCTGAATTGTGGTTTTGTAAATATAGAGATAGTTCGCGAACTTTTTGATCATCCCTCGTATGTATTTACATACATGTAACTGGCACGTGTATTGCGTTGAAAACTTTTAATATCAAATGAGTTAACTTTGAAACGGATGAAAACTAGAAATTTTTAAGTACAGTAAAACGTATGAGAGAGACAGAATTTTCATAGTTTTGAATAATCAAATTGCCCCCATTTTTTTTTTAAAAAGATAAATGCTAAGTTGTTTTAAGTTGTTCACTGTTAGCGCCCCCTTTACATCTACTTATTATAGACTAGAATTTAAAAAAAAAAGAAACGAAATAATGATATTAAGGTAAGTCACTCGTCAAATTTGTTAAATCAAGGATTTTTTGGGAAGTATATTATGTACTCATATAGTATGACTCAAAATCGCAGAGAAAATAGGGGGTCAGTGTGCATCTTACTGATCTATGGGTACAATTAAGTTGACCTTTTTGCACTTAAATTTTAACTCTTTGATTTATTACTTTATCTCTAATTTTATTTTATCAGATGTTACTACGTTAATAAATTTAATCTTATTTTACATAAAATAGTTTGAATAATATTTATCATTGAACAAATCTTGCAAATTAAAGCGCGTTTATTATTGTGTGACCTTTTTGCACTAAAAAATAACATATTTGGAGTATTAAAAAACTAAATATGCAATAAAATATTTTCTTATATCAAGCTTTTTAGGAGTTAAGTGCTGATCAGTCACAAGAATCGAGTAGTTTAAAATAATGAAAGAAAAAGTTAGGGTCAGTGATGTTAATTTTCAAACATTCGTCAAAATATGTGATTTTCAGGCAAAAAATGGTGTAAATTTCATCTTGACTTTTTTAAGATATCGTCATTTCTTGGCAAAGTTTGTTGAGGGAAGGTGTAAAACGTGTTCTAAAAATATAAATTAAGACCTATATTAAATATTCCTGCAATATCATAACGGAAAATATTCTCCGAGTAAAAGTATGTGAGGCTAAAGTTTCAAGACATTAAATTTAATAAATGTGCAGATTTGCAGAAATTCTGCTGAATATCCTTCCACCACAAGAAACAGTCCCTTATAAATCTTGCTTCTTTGTAGATTTTTAAGCAGTTTTTTCGATGAATGTAAAAAATTTACATTGTTGAATATAAACATTTTATAAAAATTGAATTTTAATAAATATTTTTTAAGTAAGAGGTTCTGTGTGAACTTTTCTAAAAAGCTGACGAGTGACTTACCTTAAACAATCGTCACTCAATTTTTCTCAAGATCCTTTTCCTTTTATTTTATCAAAACCTCAAATATTTAAAACTTCAACACCTCAGGTCCTGACGTGACTTTATCATAAAAAAGTTACCCAGTCAGGGTCAGTTATTTCTCATACCGATTATTTGTAAGGATATTATTTTTTCTCAAAGTGCGTTAATATGGTCGATGTTTCTTTCAAAGTGCGTTAGCTTGATCCCCCATTTAACGCACTTTGAAAAAAATAATATCCTTACAAATAATCGGTATGAGAAATAACTGACCCTGACTGGGTAACTTTTTTATGATAAAGTCACTGCTATTTAAATATTTTGTAAGTAGAATCAAGGTACTACATATTTACATGTACTAGAGGGATAGGCAATTCCAATTAGTCTCGCGAAGTCTCGTAAGTTGCAAAATTTTGAAAGTCAATTCAAATTAAATGTGTTCTTCTATTTTGTTCAATAATTGTGATCAAAAGCTTCATTTATCTATCAGAAAACTATTCAAGATTTGTTTAACCTCTATTTATACTCCTTATCTTAGTAGCTATTCCGCTGATTTAAAAATATTTTTGACTTTCTGATCCACGTCCTTTGATTTTAACCTAACTTTTCAAAAACTGAACTTTAGCCATAACTTTTGAACTTGAATTGAATCAACACGATATCATAAAAAAATTAATGCACCTTTATCTATTGTGGCATATTTCTGCCCCCTTTATGCGAGATAAATTATGTTAGCATGCAACATAATTATGTAGACATGCAACATAATTATGTCAACATGCAAGTTATTTATGTTGACATGCAAGTAACCAATCTTTTAAGAAAATATAAATTAGATATGGGCAAATTTACTTACTAACGCCTGTATCTGACATAAAAGATGCAACATAAATAATTATGTAGACATGCGACTTATGTATGTCAACATACAAGATAATTATGTCAACATGCGACTTATTTATGTCAACATGCAAGATAATTATGTTAACATGAAAAATATGTAAGATGATTTGCAGCTAGTTATCTTGCATGTTGACATTAATATCTTGTATTTAAAAATATAACTCGCATGTTGATATAACTAAGTCGAATGTTGACATAAAAAGTAGCATGTCATCATAATTATCTTGCATGTGAACATAAATATCTTGCATGTTGACATAATTATTTCGCATGATGACATAATTATCTTGCTTGTTGACATAAATTAGTTGCATGTTGACATAATTATCTTGCATGTTCATTGTTGACATAAATAAGTCGCATGTTTACCTAATTATGTTGCATCGTGCATCTAAAATATCAGCTACATGCGTTTGTAAGTAAATTTGTCTATATTTAGTTTATATTTTCTTATAAGATTGGTAACTTGCATGTCAACATAATTAACTAGCATGTTGACATTAATATGTTGCATGTCTGCATAATCATGTTCCCCAAACGAAGTTGGGGAACATATTGTTTTTACTCTGTTTCTTATTATTATTATTATCATTATTTTTCTTCTTCCTGGGAAAATCTTTTCCGCGAGTGATCTTGTAAACTACACGTCCGACTAAGGTGAAACCTTTTTAGGGTCAGTAGGCATGTTATGTAGATTTCCGGAACAAAGGTCATTTTGCGCGCACGTGCTTGCAAGAGCGCGCACGTGCAACACGTGAAATGACCAAAATAATAGATATAGCCGTAACTTTTCTATTTTTTGATTATATGCTTTGATACTCATAATATAAGTCTATATTAGTAGTATAGACGTGAAGACATGGTCAAAATAGCAAGGTCTCAGGCGCATGCACGTGCGCTTCGCTCTGATTGGCTGAAACTAAAGTCTCAATATCTTTCTTGTTTTACGTCATAATCCTTTAAAATTATAAATTTAGTCACACACTATGAAGATCTACAGCATGATATATAATAATTTTCATGAAAGCACGTACATGCGCGTATGCTGGCAAGAGCGCGCACGTGCAACATTTGAAAATATCAATATAATGGACGAAGCCGTAACTTTTCTATTTCTTGATGGATTTTTTTGAAACTCACAATGCATGAGTATATTAGTATTATGGACAAGATGACAAGGTCAAAATTTCAAGATCTTACGTGCATGCACGTGCGCTTTGCTCTGATTGGCTGAAACTAAAGTCTCAATATCTTTCTTGTTTTACGTCAAAATCCTTTGAAATTTTGAACTTATACCCCATTCATATGACATGATTTGCATACCTCAGTATATTTTACACATAAGTAAATTTACTCACATGTGCAATTTTCGTCGTATGAACTGATTTACTTATATGCAAATTTTGCACAGTTGAGTAAATATACACCTGGTCAGGACTAGGTGCAAATTAACTTTTGCATACACTTTGTAGCAAATTATTAGTTCATGTGTGTAAATTTTGTCGTATGAACACGCAGCATATTTACTTAGGTATGTATTTTGTTTTGTTTATTGCATAAATCTCCATTTTTTCCCATTGTGTATGAATTGTCGTGTAAAATATCACTTGGTAAACATGGTGGCTAGAGGGCAAAACTCTAAACAAGGAGCCAAATGTTACTAGTATCTCCTCCGAGATAAATTTTCAAATTTCAATAACAATGGCATCTTGCACCCTTTCTGGCAAACCTATGTTTATGTCTCTAAAGACAGCTGTTGTCGCAAACAAGTGCCATGTAGGATCAATAAGTAGTGTCCTTATTATACAAGTTGTCTCCTTTGGAATGCTCCGGAGTTATGATAGGAACATGCACTCCATCAATCGCTCGGCCCCCATTACCGTTTAGATCTTGATGACTTTCTTCTACCTTTCTCCGTTTTTAATTCAGGCAAGCTTCTCACATGATAAGTTAATGTTACAGGAATTTCAATAAACTGGTTTAAAGTAATCATTCGTAATAACCTCCTTGGCATCTGATCCCAACATGAATGTGCAGGGGTTTTTGTTAATTTCCTATTCGCATATTTGTATTGTTCAAAGATTTTTGAGATCGATCACTTATTTTTCTTCATCCTTTTCATTCTCCCCGAAAATACATAATTACATGACTGACGTTTTTAATACTAATTGTTATTCAATTGTATATACATGTACACTGAATTGACGACCGGTTTTCTCATTATTTCCCGATCATGATAAGGAGCACACGGCAGGTGTGACCGGTCGGCAGGGGATGCTCACTACTCCATGCCACCTGATCCCACATCTGAATTTTGGAGGTCCCTGTTTACTCTATTTTGTACTGTTTTATGGACTTTGATATTGAATACTATTCCTTATCTCCATATCCTTCAAGTATCATATTCAAGTGGATATTTTATAATGGCCTCACACACTTGATGTACTGTAGATTTCCCAACACCAAAAAGATTCCAATCCTCCCATTTCTGCTGAAGACGTCAATCAGTAGATGGCAACATCACTTTCTTCTTTACACCCATAGACCTTCTACAGTCTTTAGGACCGAGACCAAAACATTTTCCAACACTAAACAAAAATGTTAATAAATTTTCCTTCTTTGTTTGTTAATTCTTATACCTTTCTTTGTCTTTAAGATCATTAACTTCCTTTTGTTCTTACCAATAAATTAGTGGATCGGATTTCCACCCTAGTCTTTAAGGTAGTCCGATTCTCAGGTTTATAAAATTAGCATTTAATTAATCAAAAATACTCATAAAAGTATCTCTGAATCCACAAAGTTATGTAAATTTATCCACAGTATTTCTTTAAAGTTAAAGATTAAAGTTAATCATATTATAAGGGGAAAATTATCAAATCTCCAACATTTTTGCAGAAAAAGCGAATTGGAATATCGGCAATGCATTTTCTAATTGCAAATTGATCAACAAATATATTTTAGATTAAAAAACGATATGTATCCAGGCATTCAGAGAAATTGTCATGATTTTTATACTTATTTAGTATTTTTCGGCTTCCATTTCCGTCATGTATTCTATAAGTGTGTAAAATGCTTTTGCTATCATTGCAAGACACCACAAATCACTTCTTATTTCATATCATTCTAAATAAGCATTGGTATCTAAGGCTGGTTTAAAGAAAATCTTATGTCTCTAAAACTGTATTAATTTTTTCCCTTTTATAGGGTACAAATGTCAACTTGTATAAGACCTTTTCCAAGACTTCTAAAATACTTAAATCTTATAAAGATAATTAAAATGAAAATTGTTGCATAAAAAAAATTCATTTTCAAGCTTCATTTGATGCATTTCAAATTAAATATCAATTTTTGGAGTTATCCTTCCTGGCTGAGGATCGGATATCCTTAAGGAACATTCAAAAGTTAGTCTTTTACCCAAACAGTAAGGAAATACACTTTTCTATAAAATTCACAATTTTGAATCTGTCCATCTCCTTATTTTATATGAAAATATGAGGATTTACTAACAGTACATAAATCTCGTCTGAACGCATAGCAAATTAACTTTTACTTACGTGTGTAGATTTACTTACATGTAAATTTGCACACATAAGCAAATTTTCGTCGTATGAATGGGGTATTAGTCACACATTATGAAGATCTATAGCAAGATATATAAGAATTATTATGAAAGCACGTAAATCCACATGTGCTGCAATCTGATTGGCTGAAACTTTACATGCCTATATCTTTCTTGTTTCTCAACAAAACAGGATGAAGTTTAGGATATGAATAGGTATTATGGATTCCTACATGATACTGCTATCAAACTTGAATGCAAGCACGGGCTTACATGCACTTGCGCACACGCAATGCGGAAAATGAACAATATGTTTGAAAAACGGTAAAATTTATGTTTTTATGATTTTTTATTGATTTCTGGAATATAAAGATACGGTAATGGTTTAGACAACATGCCATGATCACCTTGCATGTGCATGCACGTGCGTTTGTGTGCAATGCGTTAAATGACTAAAAGTTGATATCATTATAGCTTTTAAAATTCTTTTATGAAATCCTGCGATACAAAGCATATTTTAAAAAGTTTTAAAGGAAATTTGCACAAAAAGGGAGTTGGGGAGCGTTTGGGGAACATCTGTAACGGTCCCCGTTACAATTAGAACTAGTTATGTTCCATGTTAACATAATTTATCTAGAATGTAGGGGACAGAAATATGCCAACATATTGATCTTAAAGCTTAAATCAAATATTGCTTTTTTTTTAGAATGCAAAGATGTTTCTCTGAAAATATTCTCGGTTGTTGAAAAGGAAAATAAATCTGACAAAATCACGCATACGCTTATAAAGGAGCAACAACCACTGGTTGATGAACCTGATTCAACTGTAAGCAGTAACTACATGAAACAAAATTTTGTAATTCCTGAAAAACTAGCCGTGATTGCTCGCAACCTTGAGTCAGATATCGACGTAATTAATTTGACACTGAAAGAAAATGACTATAATGAAGATATCTTAAAGAAATATGTTTTTATGATGAAAGAAAAACTCCAGATGTTACAAGGGGAAAATGGCTTATTTTATGACAGTAATAAGAAATTAGGTGAAATAGTGTCCTCATCAAGGTCTGTTTAGTACATGTATATAAACTTGTAGAGTAGTGTTGTGATTTTAAGTATTATTAATACATTAATATGAAAAATAAAAATCCACATAATGTAATTGTTGTATTTTTTTGTTACATTGGAGAAAATATATGTTATTTATTTCTTGTTTGCATTTCCTTGTATGATAAAGTTGTTTATTTTAGTAAAGCTTCTGAAGATAGAATGAAAGGCCTAAAGCCTTACTCAAGTTTTTTTGTTTTTCTTCTTTATCTGAAGTATTCAATTCAGATCACTGAGACATTTTGTTGGATTATCTATCTATATATGAATTATTATTATTATTATATACAACAACTTTAAAGTTAAAGGATTGATAGATGTATACGTAAGAATAATGTCGCATTATGTAATTCTGAACGACCTGTGACTTTTTTTTATTTTCTTATAGGTTAAAAGGTTTATACAAGTCTTGGGGGGAAATCGATAAATTTGCGATTCGCCAAATGCTCCGCTCGATCATGAAGTTATTAAACATTTCCAGCTAAGAGCGCCGCGAGCTCGGACTCGTACTCTGATATACAAGGGGTCGTATACATGTAAAAAGTTTTTTAAAAGGGTTATAAAGCTATATACTAAGTATGGTGTATCTGAACTAAAAAGTAAAACACGAAATTAAAGAAAGATTAAGATAATATTTGCCATCTAAATTCAAAATAAAATCACCGATTTTGAACCCAAATGTTATCCCCATATTTCTATACACGTAGGTTAAATTGACTTCAAATTGTATTTGATATGATATTTTCATAAGAGTCGGAAATAAATCGGTTATTGTTTTAATCTCGGATTTCTATATAACGCGATTGATTTAAATTGTGTTATTTACAGGAAGGTCATTTCTTTATATAAAGTAACAAAACAACGAGGAAGATCATTTTAATTTTAGTTAGTCTGAACTTATGAAAAACACGCTACATATGACTTGAAATGCTACAAATTACTTGCTTTATGTAGGAAACAGTGTTTTTATTGTTTGTAAATAAATCAAATTTTGACATGGCCCCTATAAATTTTGAAACAACTGTCAGAGTCAGTGCGCGAGTCTCGATATCGCGAAATCTGGAAATGTCTATTATCTTGTTTCTAGAAGAAAGGTAACGTACATTTAGTATATATAGATAAGGTCATATAAATGTGATCTTTGAAAATTCAACAACAAAACTTCTTAAAGAAAGATTTATCGAATTTATCGAATAAAGAAACCTTAATTTTATTAATGGAAAAAGTCAAATGCAAGCTCAATAAGCAGTCCAATGGAGCACATAAGAATAATTACACTTATACACAGATTAGAGTTTTTAGCACGCAGACATGGGGACTCTCTGAAGTTCTTTCTGATATTCTTCAATACCTCTGATATCATAGATATTCGTATTGCAGGCTCAATACATATGTAATTCCAAACAGCACCTTAAATATTTGAATCCAAGAAATAATCTCAGAAGTGTTTATAGCAATTATTGCTAATTTTTTTGCAGCAAATCTTTAAGGGGGGACCTATGTCGTTCGACGTCAAAGCAGCGTTATGTGACGTCACAATAGCGACGTTTGTTTCTTTCCCGCTGACTTTTGCAACTGTGATTATAGGCATAACATTGTTATAATCAAAAACGTACACATTTTACAAAAAGAAATTTTTTTCATCATTTAAAACAGTTTTATTTGATTTATGGAGTTTGTTAATATCAGAAATCTCTTCCTTTGGCTTGATAATTCATAGCAATTTCAGTTGTGAAGAAATACCTCTATGATATGCTGATATAAAAATGCAAAAAATATTAGATAAAATTCAGCAAAGCCAGCGGCTTAAATTAGGGAAATATGTTTAATTTTATGATTACCATTAATTGTATTTGCTGGATAAAACTAAGAAAAATAAAGAAATGTACTTGTACCTATATTTACTTATTGATTTATAGTGTACGTAGATTTTGTTGTATAAAGTCATTCCTATTAGGTGTTGGTTGTTGACGGGGAGGGGGGGGGGCACAATGATTAGAATGAAGAAAAAAAGAGTATATCTGTTTGAATTATTTCTTATCAAAACAAAATACTCGTTTTTTGCAAAATAGTTTTATATTCAGATGTTTGTCAGTGCTAACTTACCTTTTTTTTAGTGCAGAAAGGTCAATATTTATGACAAAAGAGTACGAAAATAAAAGAAAACGTTATATTTCTCGCTTATTTTATCACTTTTTTCCTTGTTAAAATAAAGAGAGGGGTTATTTCTTTCAAAAAATATGAATTACCACATTTTCACACAAAGACTTTTTAAAATATTACCTGTTATGCATGTCGGAATTGTAAAAAATACAAGAAAAACGGGGTGATACTTACATTGTGCCCCTGTATAATTTTTCATGCGAGATGAATTACAATGAATTTGCCTTCATTTTAAAGATACAAGTCATATAAATTAAATACATGTTGATTTCGAATGTGATTTGACATTTTTGGTTCTTTTAGCGCATATTTGGAGTAGAACAATAACGTCTGAAAATAATCTATTTTTAGCATTTCACACTGTTTTTGCACGTGCTCCTGTGTAAAAATAAGCATATAAAGGTATTGTTTTTAATACTTAAAAATTAAGATCAAGTGGTCAGGAAAGAAATGTCAAAGTTTTGAAAATTTCACACAAAGACTTTTCGGACATAGGTCCCCCCTTAAATGCAGTCGAAATTAATGAAAACTTCGGAGTACAAAGACAATGAAATGGACGGGTGCAATTCGACGCTAACGGCCGAGAAAACATTGGATTGAAAATACAGTTTGAAATTCATTTTCAATCCACCTCAGCTACGCTAGAAGGCACATTAGATTATTACTAATTTACCCTGAAGACAAATAATTTTAATTTCGGATTAGTTTGAAAATAATACATATATAGAATTTTCTGTCCAGCGTTTTAAAGACAGGGGTATCGGTAAGTATTTGACATTGGGGAGGCGAACTAGATTGAAAGGGGGGGGGGGGGGGTTAACTGACGTGTTTTTACTTAAATTCAAATTTCTACCAGTATATTGATATATTTTCCCATTCTGTCAATGTTTCAAAGACTCCACCTGATTTAAAAAGCAAAATCGTTTTATATGATTTTATTTACGTCATGTCATAAGCACATATGAGAAGAACGTAGTTGAATAAATATTATTTTGAGATGCATATATACTTATCTTTAAAATAATCAATTAATAAGCACTAATAAACACTACATAAATGAAATCTGTTCATTAAATAATACACAATGTCACAATGTCACTGCACTTTAAAAGCGTCCAAAAATGAAGCTCCGTCCATCCCGTGCTGACACAAAGTCGTTAGCAACTGCCAAAATGTTCAACGCATCTGTAGCCTCCCTGTGCGTGTGCAGGATCATCAAATGATTTAGCCTTTCCTGGGACATAGTGGCACGAAGATAAGTCTTTACTCGACGCAAAGCAGAAAATGTTCGCTCACTTGTAGCGTTAGTGGCTGGCATCACTAAAATAAGTCTAAGTAGAGTCACACTCTCGGAGAATAGGCATCTAGAAGCTGGAGACATCTGAGACAATAAGGTCACCAAAAAGGAAACGGACACAGTTGAGGAATCATTTAAGTTGTTTCGTGCGAGCGTTGTAAATGTATCCAGTATTAAGAAATATATGAAGGGACAAATATTTGATTTTTGTTTGGTATAATTTATGTATGTGTGCGTTCGGGGGACAAGGGGAGGGGGGTGTTAACGATCTTGGAAGTAGATAAGAAAGTTTTCAAACATGTTTCAGTAAAGGCAAAACTAAAAAAAAAAGCTCTTTTCATCCTAAAGATAAATATATGGCATGATCTTCTATAATCAAATGGCTGTCTCTTGAAAAAATAATTTGTCTTCTATGACTTTTACCAGTGTCCTTAAAATTATATTATAGACTAAAAACTCATATTAATATAATTTTCAACCAACATGAAATTATTTGTCTTTTGGATCGTACATTCATACAGGCACTTTGCTTTTGAAAACAGCTCAGGTGGATTGAAAATAAGTTCAAACTGTAATTTCAATCCAATGGTTTCTCGGCCGTCCGAGTCGAATTGTACCCGCCCATTCCATTGTCTGTCATAAGATGTTTTATTGTAACAGATAGAAATAACGTAAGCTGTAGATTTCCAATCTTGCAATTTAATGTTCTACAGTCTTATACAGTTATATAAACCTATCAAAATATTTTTGTACTCAATAAACTATATTGATCATATTTTTAATTTTTAAGCCTTCTTTGAAGATGACATTTTTTTTATTTTTTTCAAATATTTTAAGTGTCAAATATATCATTATTATAATGTATTCACAATTTTTTCTCTGTTTATGTTTCTCAAAGTATTTTAGCTTACAATATAGGGTGTTGTTTGTTTATTTGACTCGTGAATTATTCTAAATTTATTGTGATTATTGTTCTATTTCTGTTCCGTAGTTTCTTTCGATTATCCTATTCTGGGCCTCGAATATCTCCACTACCTGTATTTATTCACCTGAATTTAGGCTCCCGCCCTTCTTAAAACAAGCTTTTGGACACATAGATGCACGGGCTCTGAGTGACGAATTCTCTACTTTATGTTGCTCACCTCATAAGTCATGGCAGAAACTCTCGCCTTAAGCCTTGCACCGTATTTCTGATACAGTGGGGAACTCGTACTCTGAATATAAACTAGTACACAACTTGTTAATTATTGATCTATTTCCAAAATTCATTTGAACGGTATTAGTCAGAGACCCATGACTAGTGAAAAGTTAAAATATGCCTCTTTTAAGATGAAATATCTTTCTGCTCAAAATTTCACCAATTTATTTTTAAAACTCCAATTATTGATTTTCAACAATAACAATAGCATTAAATGCAAATGGAAAATATTTTGAAGTATGAAATGTTGCTTAATTTTTCAGAAATGAATGTTATGTCTAATCATGGTGTGAAGAATATTTGATATGATAATTATAGAAA